CTTAATTGTTACAAAGGTTATGAAAATACAGAAAGTACTAGTTCACATCTAAGAAAATGACTCTTGATTTACTATAGCAAGACTCATTAGTAACTCATAGCTTTAGTTTGTCTTGATCTGTATTTATCCACTTATCCACTCATGCAAGGTCACACTTTGTATTCCCTCAGCCCTTACCAGAAATGTGATGTCAGACAGAAGTTTGGAAGTTGTCATTAATAGTCTGCAGTTATGTCACATGGAGTTTTAACTCTTCACTGTTTACCTCCACTTTTTAAAGCCATGCACCTGCGTGAGTATGAGGACATCATTCCAGCAGTAGAAATCTACTCTCTGTTGGCCATTTGCTCAGCATCCCATCGGGCATTCGGCACATGCTCGCAGGCTTTCATCAAATTGGAATCCCTGGAGAGTGTAGAGCCTGAGCAGCGGCAGCTGTACGAGGATCTGGCCCTGGAGATCTTCACCAAGCACAACCCCAAGGACAGTCGCATAATGGAGCGGGAACGATCATCAGAGGGGTGAGGGCACCGATGAGTTCAGATAAAACACTGACGGGAGGAACAGCTGCCTGATCTGTACATCTGCAAAACCATTTATCATGTTATTAAGAAAGTTTGCTATTTTGACGAATATTTCACCATTAGTTTAGCTAAACTCTGGAGATCAAGTTAATGGTCTGTTCAACATAATGTCAAACTGCACAGGACATTTATAATGACACTGACATTAAATGACAACAGAAGTAACCCTGAATCACTGTCACTCACTCAAATGGACAAATAATTGTAATGGATGATAATAATGGACAAATAAGTAATTTTATAGCACTTATGTTTTGTAGGAAGTCCTCATGCTTCATATCACAAACTGGAGATAAAGATGGTCGATGTGTCTTTCGAAGATTCAAAAGCTTCCATCTTGTGCCAAAGATGTCATACACAGCAGCCAGCCACCAGGGGGTGATCAAGGCTTCACTCTTTGGGACACATCATGTCATCCATCTTTATATACAGTCTATGCTTCACATAAACTCGAGCATATAATATGTCATATTTTAACAGGCTTCATGCACACACTTGTTATTTAATACAAATAGTCTGCAATGAAGAGTATGAAGCACCCGAAATATGGTCGAGGTACATATGAATAACTTTGGTGTTTTAAGTCCTTTACTCTGTTTCTGCTGTGTTACTTTCTGTCAGAGTAAACCATGAAATTACTGATATTCATTTTATTTTTCTCTTTTCAGGGCAGAGGGAAAGTTACCCACGTGCATCGTGACCGGTCTGCCGATCCAGGAGTACCAGTTCTGGATGTGCAGTGTGTGTAAACACTGCGCTCTGGAGCAGGAGATCGGCAAATACAACTGCTGTCCTCTGTGCCACAGTCCTGTAGCATGAGGCTCAATACCTGAAGTTTGTTTTCCATACATAAAACCACATTTCAAAGCTTTGTGATTTGCTCACATTAGTTTCTGATCATCGTGGTTAGTTCTTGAATAGGCAGAGATGAACCCAACAGCACAAGCACAGAAACTGATAACAAGTAATAACTGAGTAAAATATTTTTTCCTTTACTTGAAATGTTGTAAAATACTTAAATGAATATAGTGTCAATGCTTTGTTAAATATTTTCATACATTTTAAACAGTCACATACAACTCTATAAATACTCAAATCTATTTTGATCATTAATATTTTGCAATGATTTTCACCAGCTAGTCCTTTTGGAAACAAATCAATACCATTGGCAACCAGCACTTCACACGTGTCATGAACAGACTATTTATAAGGATCTCTTAATTATGTTCAACCTCTGAAGTGCCTCTCCCACTTATGTGTGCTGTCCAGATGTTACTTTAGTCGACAAACAGGACAGGGATCGATGAGAAACTGCTTTACTGATGGATATAACCACGTTTCGACTTTGTCCTTAACGTGTGGAGACATTAACATTTACCTAAAAGTGGTGGTTCAACTAAGTACTTGCTCATTTACATTTATTACATGGTAAATAATTCATACAACACTAATGGTCTCAGAAAGTGACGTTAATGATGCAAATGTAAAACCATGTCCTAATGGTCTGACTCTGGACTGTCTACAGTCTTCTTCTGCCACCTGCTGCCAGTAAACGGTATCACTCTCTGAATAAATTAGTCCCACATTAGTCACTCCTCTGTTTCATGTATTTTGAAGTAGTTCTGTATTTTGGTATGAAGTGCACCAGGAGATCCTACTGCTGATGTACGTTATATTAAAGACTTAATTATAGGTGACGCTGATGAATGACTCTTTAAATAGGCTTTAATGCTGAGTGGCAGTGTTTCATTGAGCCTGAATCACACTGGGGTCCTTCACTTTAATTTTAGTCATTCACTTATGAAGGAGCAGCTTGTGTCACTGCCTCCTTTCATCTGAGAGGAAGTTTTTTAATGATTTTTCAAACTGTTAAAATGTATTTAACACACATTTCTGTACTGTGTAAATAGATCATATTTTACTAAGTGCTTTAACTTACCTCTGACTGTAAGAACAAAGAGAAATAGTCTTGATCGTGTGCTGTCTCCAGGTATATCATCTACTTAAGTAGCATGTTTATACTGTTTGACACTTCATCTGCCCTCTGCTGCTGCTGCTGCTGTGAGGTCATCACACAGTGCTAATCTTGCATCGGCAAACTGTGATGCACTTTCAAAAGTTGATGCTATAGGTCTTCTGCTATATTTGATTTATTTTGACTTTTATTTTTCACTTTTATTCGTCCTTTATTTAATCAGGAAAGTCCCATGGAGTTATACAATCTCTTCTGCCAGGGAGTCCTGCTGAAGATGGGCAGCAAAAAAAATCACATATAAATTCAAGCAGGCAGACACACACACACACACACACACACACACACACACACACACACACACACACACACACACATATACACAAACGTATAGGCTACTAAAAAACAACATACATAGAAACATGCAATTTATTTTTCCAAAAAGGTTTTATCTTATCTGGGATTAGACAAAAATTGTCAGTTACCACCAAGATGGAAACAAATTACAAATAACAAGCAGCTTTTAAAGTACAGGCCGCCAACTTTTTATGTAAAATATGTTAAAGATAACGTCAATGTTAAATCTAAATATTGAATCTTAACAATTAACATTTATTTTAACTTTGAGATTTTACAGTTAACATTCAGATTCAGATTTTAACATTTGACATTTAGACTTAACATTGATATTATCTTTTACATATTTTACATAAAAAGTACATTTTGACAAAGTGCACAAATATTGTTGTGAATGTGGTAAAATAAAGAAGACTTGTTAAACACATACCACTTTTAAAAAAGCTAAACATGAAGTATTGTTGTGTTACAGGGTGCACCACTTGCACATCGCCCTATACTTTAAAGTACAATGTGAAGAACCATGATAATAATATCAATGAGGGTAAACGTGGCTCGCCCTGACCACTGCTGCCACTCTGCACATGGTCACAGTGTGGGGGTGTTTCACGTAACAGCCTGTTGGTGGATTGATGTCCCAGTGTGCCTGTGGTCACATCAGTCCTGTGCCCTGGAGGCTGGACTCGGACACCACACCACCGCTGCGCACTGCGCACGGAGCAGCTGCCGGAGTCGGGACATGATCCACGCATGATCCACGCATGATCCACGCATGGACAGGTGAGCTACTTTCATCCTTCCCTCCTCTGTCTGTGACGAGATGTTTGAAACGTTGTTCTTCTGCAGAGAATCGGTTTAGATACTTTGCTCCATGTGTGCTGCGCAAAAGTCCGTTTTCTCCTTTTGGTTTTTCACCGTCTCCTCATCGATTCCTTTTAAAAGACAACAACAATAGTATCGGCTGTACACACGAGTCAAATCTGACCTTTGCTTTCAAGTTTCTGCAATTTGAACCGCTACAGTACAGACCACATTACCGTGCGTAACACAATCCATCAGCGCTGCAGTCAGCAGGTGTATGTGACTGTTGTGGCAAGTCACTGTTTGCATGTGAACAATATCTGCTGCTAGTTCTCAGAGCTGTGTTTAAAATACACAAATGGTGCGATAAGTAAAAGTAAATCAAATGAATTATTTATTTGAACTGAACCATGTGAGCAATGTGTTCATCAGTGGCGGAAGGAGGGATTTTTAAAAATCAGGGGCCATAAAGGGGCCACAGTTTACACAGAGGGGCCAATTATGCATTCAACATCCATGCAGAATTTCCGATTCACTGAGGTGCATGTTTAAGTCATTCCTTCTCTACTCGCTCTGTATTGAGCAAAGCTGCACATCATTACATATGCTGGTGCAGTGCGTCTGTTTGGAATGGGTAATGACCTGTGGTAACTACTTCAGAGTTATTCCTTGTCTTTAGTGAGTCATCATCATGATGTTAAGACTCATGATTACATCTTTTCAAAGTAAAAGCTCTGTAATTCAGCTCAATTAAAAGCGTTACAGCAACAAAATGACAAATAAGCGGCATTAGTGATTCTATCAGTGTTGTTGCCATGATGGAAATCAACACCACGAAACCGGGGATTGTCTGTGTCAGTCTGTGTCAGGGCGATATGGTGAAATTAACTTAATAATTATTGCCAGTTGCGTACCGCTGCTATAGTTCATCCAAGGACGTAGAAGAGGATATGATCAGCTCAGTCTGCAGACTGTTTGCACACTGCGCTGCCCCCACTGACTGCTGCTCGCCTGTTTTTTTCGACATCGAACAAACTTGACACTTATGAAACTGATAAGAGGAAAAGTTTGCAAGATGTTATCACAAACAGACGGACAGAAAGATATTTTTGAAACAGTAGGTACGCTTTTAAAATTGTCTCTTGTTTAAGCACATTATGTACTTCAATTAAATTAAATTTACTGTTAGCATTGTTCATCATTGCAACCAAACATACCGTACACTTATGCATGCAGGCATTAGACATTACTGTCACATTGTGTAACTTGGCAAGCAAATAGAAACTCAAAATATTTGTAGCATGTGATGAAAGCTGTTTATCTCCAGGTTGTAAAATAAAATATAAAACCATGCAGAGGAAGTGATACATCATTTCCAACATTCTCATTCCAGGGCGTCACAGAAACCTAGATGCTACTTGATCCTGGATGGCTCTGATGTCCGGCCCCTCAGCGTGATCAAATGACATACAACAAAGTGTGATGTGCACTAATTCCACTGTGTTTCTGTGCAGGCCACTAAAGATTTCCTGCAGGGACATCTAATGAGTGTCAGAGCTGCTCCACCATGGTGTATGGACAGGTGTTTCACCGGCACAGCTCTGGTGACTGCTTCATCAATGTTAATGTCGGAGGTTTCAAACAGCAGATGGAGCACACGGTGCTGCAACGCTTCCCACAGACGCGTCTTGGGCGTCTCCTGTGCTGCAGCTCCAAAGAAGCCATCCTGGAGCTCTGCGACGACTTCAGTCCCTCTGAGATGGAGTTCTACTTTGATCGCAGTCCTCGTTTCTTCTGTTACATTCTCAACTTTTACCTCACGGGTAAAATCCACCTGGCAGACGGATTATGTGTGGTTTCATTCGTCCAGGAGATTGAGTACTGGGGCATCAAGGAGCGTCATCTGGACTTCTGCTGCAGCAACAAATTCTATGAGCTGATGGAGGTCGCTGGGGACAAGCAGTGGGATGAGATGAGCGATGAAGTGCAGCTCCACAGCTCGGCCTCTTCCACTGAGGAGCTGTCAGCCTCGGAGGAGAACATAGAAATGTTTGAAGGCTCCTGGTGCGCAGATGTCCGCAGCAATATTTGGATTCGACTTGAGAATCCAGGTCACTCCACTTCAGCCAAAGCAATCGCTGTGGCCTCCCTAAGCATGGTTATCATCTCCATTGTAGCCATGTGCATTAACAGCATGCCAGACTTCCACCAGTTGGATGTCAACGACAAAGTGGTTGAAAACCGAGTGCTGAATTTCTTTGAGAACTTCTGTGTCCTGTTCTTCTCTGCAGAGTTCATCCTCCGTTTGGCTGTTGCACCGTCAGCGAGAAGGTTCTTGTGCCGTCCTCTCAATATCATTGACTTAATAACAGTAATGCCCTTTTATGTCACTATAGCCTGTGACATAATGAATGAAGGCGAGAGCACAGAGCTGGAGAACGTTGGTAAAGTGGTGCAGATCTTGAGGTTGATGCGAGTGTTTCGCATCCTGAAACTGGCTCGTCACTCGGCCGGCCTTCGCTCGCTTGGTGCCACGCTGCGACACAGCTCCAGCGAAGTCGGCCAGCTGGTGCTTTTCTTGTCCGTGGGCATCTCCTTGTTCTCTACTCTTATTTATTTTGTGGAAAGAGAATCTAAAGAGTCGGAGCTGGAGACCATCCCTATTTGCTGGTGGTGGGCCACCATCAGCATGACGACGGTGGGCTACGGGGACACCTTCCCCGTTACGCCTGCTGGGAAGGTGATAGGATCCCTATGCATCATCTGTGGACTGCTGATTGTAGCTCTGCCCATAACAAACATCTTCAACAAGTTCTCTAAGTTCTACGAGAAGAAAAAGCAGATAGATCTCAGACAGAACAATAAATGAATCCTCTCAAGCAGGAATTCCACCGAGACTTGTGAATTAGTAAAATGGCATTTAAAGGAGATATATTCTGCTCATATTCAGGCTCATCATTTTAATTTGGGTTACTTGAAAAGGTTTTCATGCTCTAATGTTCAGAAAACACATCACTCTGCTGCAGCTCCTCTTTTCAGTCTCTGTCTGAAACACAAGGGCCCCCCTCCCGATACAGCCCAGTCCGCTCTGATTGGCCAGATGACCCTCTCTGTTGTGATTGGTCAATCACTTCCTGCATATGTGGGAGATGTCGGCCTATGCTCTCATTTTAAATATGCCAGGATCCATTATTTCCAGGCAGAAAGATGAAAAGGTTGAAAAACTCCCTTCCTCTCAGTGTTAAAGAAAGAAGAGAAAAACCTTCCATCCACCCATGATCCTGAAATCCAAAATTGAATGGGTTCTTCCCTGACCCACATTCTTCCAACACATTTCATGTAAATCCTTTCAGATTTTTTTTGTAATCATGCTGATAAACAAACAAATAGGGTGAAAACATAACCTCCTAACCCTTAGAACACCAGAGGAAAGAAACCCTGAAAAGGCATTATATGTTTCTTTTAATATCAGTTTGGTTCAGCGTATTCTATGAGTGGAGAGAAAGGCTTGATTACAAAATAAACTGCATGAAAGAAAATTAAATAAATGGCGCTTGATGATAGAGCGAGGATTATTCTTTTCAGTGAATCAAATGTTTGTTTTGGTTTAGAAAATGACAGAAAATGGTCAAAGATGCTTCGGAAACCAGGTTAATATTTCTGTTTTGCTTTGTCCAGCAGTTCAAATCCTGAAGATCCTCGGCTGCAACATGCAATTTCAACACTAGATATCACAAAATTCTACGCACTGTACCTTTAAGTCTTTTCCGACATTTTACAAATTTTACAATTTACAGCTCTTTGGCACCTGTGAAAAGCCATCCCATAATGAGGCTACCCTACATCCGGTTGAAAACTGATTTATCAATCAATCAATTATTCCAGTTTTATTTGTATAGCCCTTATTCTCACGCTAGCTAAGTCTCAAAGGGCTTAACAAGGTACAACATCGTCTGTTCTTAACCCTCAACAAGAGGAAGAAAAATCTTAGAAACCTCAGAGCCACATGTGAGGGATCTCTCATGATAAGTTTGAGAAACCTTCTTAGACATGACGCAGCGTTGTGAACGTCCAGTCTCCTGTCGTCCAGTCTCCTGTCGTCCAGTCTCCTGTGACGTTTCACTCCCATCAGCTCTGCTGGATTCTGTTTCAACGGGCTCGGCTCAGTCCGGTGAGGGGCCTCTTTCTGTTCACTGGGTCGTCAGTGTAATGAGTTCTTAATCGATGGGCCTCAGTCAACAACTTTGACAGTCAATAAAGAATCCTCTCGAGGTGCTGAATTCACAGTTTCTCCCACGGTGAGGATAGTTTGATGGTTAAACAGGATACACCTGTCAGTGATGTTATCATGTGTTTCTGTTAATATAATGAGCAGGATTTATTTAGCTGTTAACAGGGTATATTCACATCTGTGCTGGATCCATATGAGCGTTTACACCCAGTCGTGCTGAGGTTAAGCTGTTGCCGCAGTCTCCTTCATCAACAGTATCTGTTTGTGTTTATCTGTTATCGCTGCCCTCAAAGGAAAAAAGCCAATACTGTAGATAATGGAAACTTCTGTTGCATCTGCATTGATTTGAATGTAAATCCCAGCTAATACATTGGTGAGGTGGCGATCCTCAGTCTCACCAGCAGCTGATGACCAACAACATTTATAATATTTTACCTGTCCTTAAATAAACGTCTACATCAGCACCCAGGGGGCGCGGTCCCCTTAAGTGCCCGGGTGCTGCTGTTGTCTCACTTCATGCTCAAAGTCACGCAGTAGCGCACTCTGTCTGAGTTCATTGCTTTGAAAAGTGAACGTCATCGTCAGCGATATCAGTGGTCATCTCTGTGCTGAAGGACGGCCAGGTGGTGTGTGCACTGGAACAAAGAGATGGAATCTGCTGCTGCAGCTGTCTGATCGCTCAGAGAACTAAACTTAAAGCCCGGACGGAGCAGTGGCTAAGTACATTTACCCAAGTACTGCACTAAGGCACATATTTGAGATACTTTTACTTTACATTGCTATTTAAGGAAATAATGTACTTTTGACTCCACTTCATTTGTCTGACGGTAAACTGTTACACTGCACTTTAGGAACTTTTACTTTTCATATACATTTGGGTGATAAATAAGATTTTGAATGCAGGAAAGGTTGAATATGTTAAAAGTGTGAAAACAATATATTTACTTCAGTAAAGGATCTGAACACTGTTAATGTCAATATATGGAAGTGATGACTTGCAAAACAAAACAATTGTACCTGAGGTGACGTGAGCCCTTTGTCAGGTTATTGATTCATTCATGAATCACTCTGTGTTAGTTTAGTAAACACTATAAAGACTTTAGTTTTAATCAAGTACACAAATTCATTCACTCTGATTTACATTTGCTTCTGTCCCTTTATACTGTGTTTGTTAAAGTCCATCGCAGTACTTCTCCATACATATACTATGTATAACAGATATTTGTACGTATGTAATTAATGTGTTCACAACTGGTCATTGTTGAAAATACAGACCAGATTTACAGCAAAGTCCACTGAAGTGACAAACAAGTCCATGTGTTGGATTTAGAGGTGGATTGTGATAATGTGATGCTGATCTGCTTTAAAAAAACATTGTAACCTCGGTTCCCCGAGTGAAGCGACTCTGTACATATGGAATATAAGACATAGTCCCGATACAATAGAGAACATTGGCCTTCTTTTCTTCTGAAAGTCATAAATATATAAGTAAATACAAATGTCTGTGTAAATGCTCTGTATTTATATACAGCTTGTCTGCTCTTGATCACCACTTAAAGGGATAGCTCAACCAAAAATGAAGATTCACTGATAATCAACTCTCTACTATGCAGATGGAGGGGTGGAGTGTTTGGAGCCACCGAAGAGTGAAGTGTTTGTGGACTCAGAGTGTTTTCTTTACGTTTGAAGAAGTGGTCACCATTTACTTCAATTGGAATTGATTTTGCTCCAAAAGTGTTTAGTGGACTCAATCTCTTCACCCACCCCTCCATCTGCACAGCGGTGAGTAGATAATGAGGGAATTTTCCTTTCACAGTATTTGCCATTCACCCACACACACACAGTCATTCAGTGCATCTCTGTGCAGCCCTTTCTCTATGAGGAGGTTCAGTTTATTGCTCAAGGGCACTTCAGCATACAGAATATAATAACCTCTTGATCATGTCACTGAATATCACATGTACCAGCTTCTTCAAGCAGGACATCACGTGACATCTTAGAACCTTTTTTGCTGCCTCATCTCTTCGCATCTCTTCGCAGCAAATACACACACTACACATCTGTTGTGTAGTGTGTGTATTTGGTCTGATTATAGGATTTCAGCCATGTGCCCCAGTATATATATCTTCATCAGTAATGTGTGTTAGCATTGTTGTCAGGCCTCCTTTGTTATCTTCACAAGGCTGAAATCAATTTCCTCTTTACTGTGATTATCCTTGTGTGTTTATCAGCGGCTCTGCTTACTCAGCACAAACACTCACAGGGAGCATGTTGCATTCAGGCGGAGTCCGTGCATGTGAACGCTCAGTTCCATTTTAACCTTGGTTCTCTGAGTGAAGAGACTATCTCTCCAACTCCATACATGTGGAATATGCTTTCAGTGGGGGGATCGCCCCGAAAAAGAAAAGGCAAAAGTCAGAGCCACGTTTATTATGTCTTAAATTCACTGTGAGCTGTAATCAGAACGTGGAAACAGAGAGGACAGTCTACTGCTGTTTGACTTTCTGAGCTCTCACTGTTCTACTGTAGATTATTTCTATATTGAAAAAACACAATCTATATTAATCTATAACATGTTCTCCGTCATCACGGCTGATTTTAGAAAACATGCAAATTCATTTTTTAATGATCAACTGTCCTCTGCTTCTCTCTCTCTGCCAAAGAGCTTCATGCTGAACACAACTGCACCGAGGCTTCTCTGAGGTTGGGATCAAATTTTCTGTTTTGCATGGAAATTGATTTTGGGTGTTTTTGTGTGTGTTGATGGGAAAGAAGAAAAGAAGAGGAATGAAATTGAAATGCAAATGAAATAGAAAAAGCTGATGTGAAATAAAGAAGCCCAGAGGACACAGAGTGTTAAAGTCATCCTCCTCTGCTGCTGGTTTCAGTTCAACGTCTTGTTTGTTTGCTTCATCTCATCCTGAGCATCTCTTCAAACATGAAACCAGACACAACATGGCAGAGTAAACATGTGAGGAAGACAGAGCTGGTGGAGTTCATGTTTTCACCCGGCCATCGTCAGCAGCCGTGCTCATCACTTGTGTCTAACGTCAGAAGAAGCTGCCATGAGATTTAGAGGAAAAACTCTCACTCACTCATCATCGTTTTAATTCTGACAGACTGCTGTGATTTCTGCAGAAGTCTTGTTTCCCTGCTCCATTTTAAAAGAGTGTTTACATCATATGAACTGATAAAGATGAAGCATCAATAAATCAATTTATCCTCCCTAATTTAAGGACTACAATGACCAGAGAGGAGCAGTTCGGGATTTGAATTGTGAGTATAAACACTGCACTCTTCAGCAGGAGCTCAATAAATACAACTTATTACATTACATTATATATATATATTATATTATATATAATATATATATATATTATATATGTATGTAGATTCAGGTCTGTACGTGAACTACAGCTTCACCATGTCATGTTTTCTCTGTTTTCTCTCTCCCTTTGACCACACTGCCGCTTTGTGGTAGTTTTGTGCAACTACATCTCAGGAAGGTGTAAGTCTTTTATTTTGACAAACGGAAGTGGTCGTATAATGTGAATATTTCTGACTTGATTCATGTGATGACACGAGAGGACAAAAAGTGATTCGTACAAATACACGTTTTTATATTTCAAGTACTGAGTAGTTCAAAGTGTAATGAAGTACAACACTTTGTGAACAACCTTCTAAAAATAAATCTGTTGTACACTGATCTGAGTATTACCGCTGACTGGCGCTAGTAGCATTAGCCAGGTTAGCCAGGTTAGCCAGAAGCTAACACACGTTAACATCAGACACGTGTCTACATGTGAACGTTCGAACTCGATGCTGCCTCCAGGGGAAGTTACCAGCGCAGCTAACAGTTGCTATCATGCCACCTAGTGGTCACAGTGAGCAACTGTGAAAATAAATCGAACGACCTGGAAGTGGAGACATTCCTACAGATGTAGTTGTAGTTACTTATTATGTCCACGAGAGGGAGATGTGTTACAATGAGCAAGTACAGGCGCTAACTATTATAAAACTTGATTTTTTTAAATGTGCAGACAAACACGTGTAATAAAATAAACACTTGAATATCATGAACTCATTATATATAATTACATTATATATAGAGTGAATGTGATTAATTATTCAGTTTAAAAACACCTTCATCTCAACCTACTGAAGAAAAAGAGAATAAGAGACCGTGCACACTTCCGGCGTTCACTTTCAAAGTAAATCAATTCAAGTGTCTCACATGAACATTGTGTCTCATGTTTCAGATATTAACCATCCTCAGCGACAGCACCGGGAGTTTCTATTACATTTCATTTGTTGTCAGTTCGCTCGGGTAAATGACAAAAATGTTGTCATATTACTTTATTGCAGTAAAATAAAATTATAATATCACACTTTATTTGTGGATTAAGTCTGGGAATGTAATTTTATTTTCATTGTATAGTCTAATTCAGGTTGGTGCATAAGAATGATAGTCCTACTGTATTTCACTAAACAAGATACTGACATAATATAACATCACCATCACATTAGATTTTAAATACTGAATATGCAGTAGACTAAAGGCTGTTTCCTCTGTTTGTTAAAATATAAATATATAGGCTGTATGTCTATATTCTGGGAGAAACCCCATTACATTATTTGACATTTAGAGAAATATTTCTTTGTATAATATTTCTGCACCAGAAAGAATTATTTGATTTTTCTTTGACTAATTTGAAAAGTTAAGCCGATGAACACGATGAACATTATCACTGGACCAAAAGGTTTTATTTTATCTTACCAATCAAAGAATGTGTCAAATTATTTTTCATCTCTTTTTCCTTGAATGATAATAATAACAATAATAACAACAATAATAATTATAATAAATGATGATATGGTGATGATATTTTTAATATTAGAGTTCATCTCAAACATTTGCAGAACCTACAGTTAGTGAAATGAATTACATTCAGCACATAAACGAAAAAGCACAATTCCAAGTTGAAAATCATTTTATTATTATTATTATTCATTTAAATTAACAAACACTGCTATACATATTGCTGTTTTTTTATTAATTTTGAATCATTTTCAACAGTTAAAGCATTTGGAAAAGAAGAAATAGAAGCTGAAAACAGACGACAGACAGTAGATGACATGTACAGTAGAAGATCTACAGTCAATGGCTTTCCTATGTGTGTCGAGGGGCTTCAGAATGTTTCAACATAGAGACGCATCAGACTCGCCCACAGTTAAGTGTTTTTGGTTTTCGTTTCACCTCCACAGGATCCCAGACGTCCTGCTGCATCACACGATATCACAGCCGGTGATGATAAACCCAACATCAGTGAAATATAAATAGCCGACATGTTTTTTTCCAAACAAGTAGCAGCAGCTCGAATATTGAATTTCAAAAGTCTGTTTTTCTGCATCCAGCGCAACAAACCACACCTCCTCCTCCTCTGATAACAGAAAGGGTTCGAACAAAGATGACACCCCCCACTTTCACCCCTGACAATTTATATTCATTAGGAATGTTTGAAGTAAACATTTAAAAAATCCCAAATATCGCTGTTGTGTCCTTCTCAGTGCACGCTATTTAAAATCCCTCATCCCTTTAAGATACACACATGTAAAAAAAAAATGAAAAAGAAGTGCTTCGTAGAACTTCGGAAATATTACGTCTTGTCAAGATGTCTCCTCTTTCATGTCAGGCCAGCTGGGGAGAGAGTTCTTCTGATTTCTTCCTCAAAAAAGTGAACCGTGTCCGGCCCTCGTTCGAAGCCAACTCACCGAGTACCTCTGTGTCGGCCTATATTCATACACACCCATAAATGCGCACATCTGATTTGAATTCAAACATCGTTTCTTTACTAAAAGTGACAGATTTACAAACACAGTATAAACAGGGTTGACATCATTGGCAGCTGGCGACAGTCTAGACCACAGTGGCTTTTTCTTTTTCTTTTTAAATTTTAGCAAAAATTCCTCCTTTGAGACAAACACGGATGAATCACAAACCTTTTTTGGCTTTTTGAAACCTGACCTGCTGCAGCGGCAGTGTTGAGAAAAAAAAAGAACTTATTTAGAGAATATAGGAGACAAACAACAGACTCTTGAGGAGGAGGGTTCTGTTCGGTTCTGTTGTGTCACAATGAAGCGATGAAGTTTGTCGCCCCCTGCACATAAAGTACCAACTCTGCAACACTCCGGCTCGACCATTCAGCAGCCGCCAGTCCTGCCACGCTCCTCGCGACGGGGTTCTACTACACCAGAGAAATGATCCCTGACATCAATGTAAATCACATACACTTTGTCATAAACAGGTTGTAAAGTTCAGGTACAGAACCACTGAGGAAAAGCACAACAATACTACTATAAAGTCAAGCCACTATGGCAAAAATAGAAGGTATAGAGTATTGAGGAACTAGTCATTGATTGAGAGTTGGCTCATATCGTTTGCAACACGGAGGAGTGCTCGAGTCACCCTGCAGATGACGACTTTGCTTTTTCTACAGGCGGATTAAGGAGAGGGGCAGTGTCTCAACAAATCACTTTGCAAAACGGAATCGGCACAGTCCATAAATACAATTAAAGAGATGGAGATCACGCCGGAAATGTGCGAACACTCTCGGTAGCGATTCCAGAAGCGAGGTCCAGAGACGAGAACAAAAAAAGACGAGGAAGTCTTTGCTCCTTGTCTCTTTTTCTCCTAAGAAGTGCCAGTAAGACGCTGACCTCGTAGAAGTGATTTATTGATTCGTCTTGGCAGAGTGCAAGTGTCCACATGGCTTTTTCAACAGGTTCCAAAAATATATATATCAGGTAAGAACACACTCTCTAGTTTTAGTCACGTCAACTCACGGTTGCCACATGGAGGCGAGTCTCTCTTCAGGATTGTCTGCCCAGTAAACAAGTTGACACTCGAGTTGAAATGGCAAAGGGATGACTCTCTTTAGGTTTGGTGCACGCACTTTTACAAATAGAATTAAATTTTTTTACACTGAAGCAGAACAAGAGGAAACACGTGGCGTAGCCCTTGTGGGTCTCCCTGCGGAGGGGAAACGGCTCACATGGTCAGCTTGGTCTGGACTTTTCAATGTGCTCTTGGGTCTTCATTAAAAGACACTGGAGAGAGGGGAGGGGGCGTGCAGTCGGTGCTCATGCTCGCCCTCAGCCACAGTGTTTGTTTCTCAGCTGTGCCAAGCTGATGGCCTCGCTCAGAGCGCCAGCAGGGTGGGCGAGTTGAGGGAGTCTGAGGACTGGTCGCCGCTGCTGCTGCTGCGCCGGTGGGCCTTGGAGCAGGACTCGGAGGAGGACGACGGGCTATCGGGCTCCAGCATGCTCGGGTAGGTGAATATGAGACTCGGGGCGTTGGGCGTGGCAGCAGGGGTGGAGGCCGCCACCACCGGCGTGTTCAGGCTGTCTCCATCTGTGCAGTACATCCCGCCGCTGACGACACCGCCGCCACCCAGGCAGATAGGCTTGATGACGGAGCGCTGAAGCTTGCCCAGGTCTCCCACATCTTCATCAGGCTCCTGTTTCACCACCACCTGGTTGATCTGACTGCGGGGCACCATGTTGGGGCGCATGGTCAGGGGGAGAGGGGCGCACTGCTGCTGCTGATGCTGGTGCTGCTGCTGGTGCTGATGCCCCGACGACTGTTGGCGATCCTCAACGGGCAGCTTACACACTGGATTGTGGGCGACCAGCATGAACTCCAGCTTGTCCTTCTCCTTCTGTAGGTTCTCGATCTCTTTCTGCAGGTCGGATTTCTCCTCCTCCAACTTCTCAGTCTCCTGTTGACACAGAAACAAGATAAAACGGTGAGAACTTGAGCACAGGTATGGAGACGTTTATTTTTGTTTCATTTATCTTGGACATTTTTTGGACAGAAAAGAGATGATGACGAATGGAGTGAACAACATACAAAAAAGATCTTGAGTCAGATGTGAATCAGGCAAGACGCCTCAAATGTATTATTTTTAATTTGATGAAAAGAAATACTGAAAAGAGATTTTCATGGATATTCAGTAAGAAAATGCTCAACTGTAGAAAAGCTTTCTGAAGCATGTGATGATGCCAGAGTTTCCCCCACAGTCAGGTAGTCTGACTGCGTGGGTGTGTTCCTCCAAAGCGCCAAAAGAGGGCACTGTTTGTTTGCTGTGGTTTCTCAAACGCAGACAGTAGCACAGGCAACATATTAAATCTAGAATTCATCACGGACCATTTAAATTTACAACATGTAATCTCGGGGCCCTCCGCTCGAATTAGAGCGCTGCATAATGACTGCATTGTTTGTGTCTCGGAGATACGGGATCTGCATCAACAATGTGTCATTAATGTGTCACATAAAAAACAGACAAAGGCAGATCCCACGAAAAGCTGTTTGTCAGGCCCAGACACCACGGGCTGATAATGATAAGCTGACAAGCTGTCTGAGAACTTTGACTCGTGGGCAAAGGTATGAGGAAGTTGTGCACAAGAGGCCCGGGAAGGAGATGGTGGTGCCCAGTGTGAGGCTTACGAATGTGACCGATATCAGTAAATCAGAGGAGATTAATGTCAGGATATTGCTCCGTCTTTTCTTTGCAGTTGAAAGCGATCATAACATCCTTATTTGGAATAAAGAAAACAGGCATGTGAAGAAGGAAGGGCTTTTTCTTTCCTTCCAGGAAGCATTTGCTCTAATGTGTAATGTGTGTGTGTGTGTGTGTGTGTGTG